ACACACACACACACACACACACACATACACATACACACACACACACACACACACACACGGACTATCTTCATTCAGACGTAGGCACGAAACAACTATATTAAAAAATAACGCTAAACGCTTATGAAGGATAGGCCTGTAAGAATAGAAAATGCTTAAGATGTCTTTTGAAGCTATCAAGTGTTCTTCTAGTATCTCAAACTTTTTGCTGGAACTTTGTATCCTTCTCACCTCGGGTTGGCCGTTACAGAAGGGAAGAAGCCCGCCTCCTAAAGTATCGGAATTGTTCATAACGTGAGACATTAACCAATCAGCAGAACTTTCTTCTCTAAAATCTTCTCCTCTAACCTCATTTCCTGTTCCGTCATTTGGGCTTAAAATCTCGAAGGTTCCGTGTGCAAGTTGAGCACGTTAAAGATCTCTTCGTGGTCCAAAATCGATAAGAGTAGGCTTCGGCCGCCTCCCGAGCAAAATTCAAAATTCCTATCAACTGAAAATGTTAGGTGCGTCCTGTGCGGTCATATGACCTGATGCAGTTGCGAGCTGCGTAAAACACTTACTTAAAAAAACCGCCCAAAAAGAGAAAGTTGGCTAAACATATAGCACAATACTCTACACGAAATAAACAACAATAACAAAAAGAAGAACAAACAGGGACATAAATTGATAAAACAGAAAATTGATTTCATGTATTACTATAAGATAGGTATAGTTTTCAATCGAAAAGAAGACTCAGCGAGTGAGCTTTAAAATGATATAATAATCATCATCATCATCATCATCATTATTATTATAATAATAAAAGCATTCGTGTAACGCATAGCTCCGCTCAACAGCAGGGTTTGCGCTTCACAACAGTATTACCCCAGCAGACCATACAACACTCAGACACATTGTCAGAATCCAGAAATCAAAAAGTTGACGAACGCCTTATTCTACCGTGTTATTATTATGAATATTGTATTCAGTTAGAAATAATTTTGCGTGCATTCGTTCTCCTTAGAACAGGCGAACTGGTTAATAAATGAGTATCATTCAATACATTACAAGCTTAGAGCTTAGAAATAAATGGTATGTAAGGTGGTCTCCGTTGATATGGAAACAACTGGTCGATTTTAAGCACATGGTGGCTATGGCTGTTTTGAGATAATCGAAGGTAAAGTTTTTTTCCTTTCGTTCAGTTTCTTTAAAAGACAAGGAGAGTTTTCTCTATAACCAAACAACTATACACACCGATGAAACCAAACTTTAAAAGACAAGGAGAGTTTTCTCTATAACCAAACAACTATACACACCGATGAAACCAAACTTTAAAAGACAAGGAGAGTTTTCTCTATAACCAAACAAATATACACACCAATGAACCAAACTTTAAAAGACAAGGAGAGTTTTCTCTATAACCAAACAAATATACACACCAATGAAACCAAACTTTAAAAGACAAGGAAAGTTTTCTCTATAACCAAACAAATATACACACCAATGAAACCAAACTTTAAAACACAAGGAGAGTTTTCTCTATAACCAAACAAATATACACACCAATGAACCAAACTTTAAAAGACAAGGAGAGTTTTCTCTATAACCAAACAAATATACACATCAATGAAACCAAACTTTAAAAGACAAGGAGAGTTTTCTCTATAACCAAACAACTATACACACCAATGAACCAAACTTTAAAATACAAGGAGAGTTTTCTCTATAACCAAACAAATATACACACTAATGAAACCAAACTTTAAAATACAAGGAGAGTTTTCTCTATAACCAAACAAGTATACACACCAATGAACCAAACTTTAAAAGACAAGGAGAGTTTTCTCTATAACCAAACAAATATACACACCAATGAACCAAACTTTAAAATACAAGGAGAGTTTTCTCTATAACCAAACAAATATACACACCAACGAAACCAAACTTCTCTTAGGGCAGTGCCCACTTTTGGTGTAGGTCAAAATTTCAGTAAACCCCCGAAATCTGGGTTAGCCCGCTTGTCCTTAAAAGCAACCAATTTTCAGCTGCATAGGAAAATGTAAACAAAATCAAAACTTCAATGTGCACAGTTCAGAATTCTCTGTAGCATTCTGATTAACAACGCGTCAACGTGTAATCCGAATCAAAATGACAATAATATTTATTTTACAAAATACACTCCTTAGAAATATTCGTACGTCGTGTTTTACTATCGTATCCATACAACGTGGGGAACTATGTGTCACCACTTTCCAAAGAGGAAATTTACTCGTTAATCCGATTCGCCCTCTTTGCATAGCAGTCTGTCAAAATGATTTTTTGAGAAATATTGAAAGTTTCAAAGAGTTTTCGTACTAGAAGTATTCTAAAATGTGAAGAATACAACCCCGGTGTACAAAATGACCCCAGGGCATACAGATAGGGCTTAAGCACGCTAACGAAATAGGGAGACAAAGATGAAAAGTAACTGGAGTGAACTAATTTGAGGTGAAATACTAATGGTCAGTGTATTGTTTACCTAACCCTCCTATATAAACATGAAGTTCAGAATATAATCCTTACTTTTTAACCTTTGAAGATTGAAGTAAAGATTCAACACACAGTTGAGCTTCTGTTCACATTTTGTACTCTTGTAACATGGAGATTTCGGACTATTGGGCAAAATGTTATAGTTTTTTCACTTCCATCCATTAAATACCTGTCTATAAACGACCAACCAAAGATGCTTCAATCATTAGTACGTAAGCATTGCATATTCACTCTCGATTTATTTGAATGTGGTGTATTATCTAATCAATATAGATCTGTTATATAGTTTATAATCCAACATCTTTTCGCTAAACGTGCGAGCAATATTCCTTTTATCAAGAGGCAAGTAATCACAAGGCAAAGGAATTTCTTTCTGGGAACCACTTCTGTCTGACATTATCACTTGGTAAAATCTGAACTACATCACTGGTGCAATATTGCAACCCACGTGTGTTTACACGAGTTTGTATATCACATCTTACGATTCTGGCTCAAGTGGGGCACAAACGTACGTACACTTGTAGTGATATACTGTCAATATTTATTCATACAACGACAAAGTTTGTGTTATTTAGGGCAATGCGGGTTTGTACCTTTACTGCCATAGCGTACAATGGAGAGTGGAATACAAACTAACAAAAATATGATACAATTTATGTAAGCTCTCAAGGGCTGTAATCTAAATTCAGTTCTTTGCTTGCACTTTGTGGGCGGTTGGCGGGGGGGGGGGGGGGGGCCCCGGGCCGAATTGCCTGCTCCTTATTCCATAATATCTAAAAACTATCGGCCCTATTGGCTCCCCCCTTCTTCTTTGTATTTGTGACTCTCTTGTTGCACGTCTTCTAATCTTCGACACTGATGTGATTTTATAGTGTTGCAAGTGCCGTAGAAACTCTTACTAAAACCAACCTAAGCATTCAGGGTGAACAGCTTGAACTAACAAGACCTGTGCGGGTACACTAAGACTTGTCGTAGAACAAACTAATTAAGAACAATAACACGGCGACTATGACCTTTTTCTTTTAGCACGAATATTTTGTAAACAGATCTTTTGAAAGCGGTCGGAGATACTCCTGGTCAGGTGACCGTGCGAGCGTAAGTAGGTGTGGTCGAAAAGCGTTCTTTGGTCCCCCGTTGTCTCGTCGACTAAACTGAACTTCGTGGAACGCACAACAGCATACCATCTACTTTTATGTAGGTACTTTTTTTTTCGAAATTGACAATGCTCCCTTCCAGTTCAACAACACTTTAAGTCTCACAAACAATGACAATTGCTGTACTATAGGAGACTTGAGACCTGAGATGGGAGGATTCCACACGTGCAGATTTTTCGAGACAAGGATATATAAGCGAAGAGTCTCATGGTCAACATCATCAGTACTACCAGCGCTGGCCTTATCAACATTTGATCGAGCAGGAGCTGAAACTGGTAAGATCTAATTTGACGTTAATTAACAAATTATGGAAACTCATGAAGTTTGAAATATTGGATAGTTGCGTACTATAATAAACGTGGGCGCATTGTAATACAGTAAGGGTTATATTAATGAAGAACTGAAGGTCAATAAAATTTTAAAATATTATTTTGGAAACACAAAGGGCCATTTAAAATAGATAATCCAATAGTCTTTAAAAATGTCAAATGTGTTCTATCTTTTGAGTTAAACACGTTTTTGTTTTCCCTTTGACTTAGTTCCAAACACGTTTGTATTGTGAATATTCTACGCTGATATGAATAAGAACAGGATTGTATCACCCTCATGTGTGACAATATTAAAAAGTACAGAGAATATTACATCTAAGTTAAATTACATTTATATTCATTTCACGGGTATCAGTTAATGCTCTATGCAAAAATAACTAGATTATAAGTAACAGACCTGAGAATGCTGTCCGAAGCCTAGTGATTAGGTTATTAGACCCCTTATCATGAGGTTACAGGTTCGAATGTTCCACGTCCTGCTCGCTCGGACGATACTATTTCAAGACATTTCCCACTTGACTATTTCCTCTATACGAGTACAGTTTAATTTCCAGCCAAGGAGTGCTATCTATAAGGCGCATTTTTCAACCAGCTAGATGCGGATGTTAAGGTTGTGATAAATATCATATTTACTATTCCTTTTTTTCCTCACAGATCGTACATTCCACCCAGACCAAACCACAAGTCTGTCACTATGTTGTCGAGTGCTGGAAGTCGTGTGTGTAACATGCTGCTGGCGCTGATGCTCCTATCGGTTTGTCTCCAGTCCTGTCAAGCCGGAAAGCACAACTACCACGAACACGAGCACCACGTCAAGGCCCACCACAGCCACAGCCACAGCCACAGCCACAAACACAGCCACGATCATCATCACTACAAAGACAGCAGCAGCAGCAGCAGCAGCAGCAGCGGTAGTCTGGACTCCCTGCTCTTACTGTTGCCCTTCCTTATGCAAATGATGGGAGGAGGAGCCGCCGCCCCCGCCCCCGCTGCAGCCGCCGCCCCTGCCCCCGCCCCACCAGGATAACTGGCCTGAACTTGGTCCTCGGGGAAAGGATCCCAAACAAGGATATTCAGATATTTATGTAACTGTATCTTTTTCAAAGGCTACGCTGAAAGTAAAATTAATAAAACAAATTGTGGGATCTATCACTTTTGTTTGTTCTTTTCTTTTAATTTGCATACAATGACAATGACAATGACAATGACAATAACAATCTTTATTCAACTCACAGGGAGAAATTTGTCTTGGTCGTTAACAATGGCAGTAGATGTTACGAATGTTAGGTGCACTCACGCATACACACAACAAGACAGGACATTAGTAAATACAGGACAACCCGCTCCGTAAAACATTCTCTCTCTCTCTCTCTCTCTCTCTCTCTCTCTCTCTCTCTCTCTCTCTCTTTCTGTCTTTCTCTATATCTCCCCTCCCCCCTCTCTCTGTTTCATGTGTAGTACTGTGTGTTCAGTAACATCACTGCAGTTGATACGAATGAATTTCTATAATTATCTGTCTATTCTTGCTTTTTTAAAAAAATGTATCGTTTACTGCGGGTCGATAATTGAAATTCCTATCAATGGGTGGCTATGGTCACTAAGCATTAATTTCGCCTTTTTAGAATGTTTGTCTTGTGCAGATATTCAAAGTTACTTAGTCCTCTACCTATTGTTCTTGATGATATACAGTTAAATGCTCATAAGATAAATGCCTCATTCATTTTTGGCTGGTTTGGAAATTTTGGCTCTGAAATATGGTCAATAATATTGTTCATAATAAAGAGCTTTTTTCTTATTTTCTGAAAATGGCTAAAAATGACTTAGGTAGTAATTGTCTGAGGAGCGTGACAATATGGATTTATATTGTATTAATGTCATATGACATCTATCTATCTATCTATCTATCTATCTATCTATCTATCTATCTATCTATCTATCTATCTATCTATCTATCTATCTATCTATCCATCTATCTATCTATCTATCTATCTATCTATCTATCTATCTATCTATCTATCTATCTATCTATCGATATAACTATCTTCCTTCACTGTTTCTGACAAAGACATCGTAGTACAAAGTAACCCAATTATAACTGTAGCAGAACTATATATATCATCTCCTATTATGTAGCTAAAGAATGCCCAGCACCGACTTCACACAGACGGATACATGACTCACTCTCAGGTCAAACTTCATTATTTGTCTCTCCAATGCTCGACCCAGTCACACAATCCATGCTAAAATAACACCAAAACATGGATGGCTAGAATTTGTCTTCAAATAAATTTGCATGCTGCGAATTTGGAAATTTGGAATGCCACCCCCTTATTCCCCAAATTTTCCAAGATTGGCCTTTCCAGTTGGAAAAGTTGGTTCCTCAATGTTTAAGCGATCCTTTTCTTTCCTTTTTCCCCATGTTGGTTACTTTGGAAAAGGCAAAATTGTATATAGGCTTTGGGGGGTTTGGGGGGGGGGAGGTAGGCTGGGCATCTGATTTTTTTCGCCATGGACATGGGGATGTATAAATTGTTGTTGCTAAATTATGATCTCCCAATGTGATTTTTCTATCCTTTGAAATTTCAGTAAGTTCAGTGATAATTCTGCTTTCTACATAATTCAGAGCCTTAATGGAAGTAGTATGTCGATAAATGTTCCATTTTTCTAAGTAGTAGTAACGCCATGAAGGAACACGACGTTGTCGTATTTGTCGTACATTGTAACATCGCGTGTCATGTAGTAAAAGTTGTTCCCGCATCCGATCCGGACATTGGGGATTGCCTTGTTAGTGAGACAACTTCCTGGACCTTCGGCATATTGTGGTAGGGTGATCAGTTCCTTTCCACGCCGCCTTTACTTCCCCCACTCGAAGTCAGGTACCCATTACTGCTGGGTGGGCAGGAGGGGGGCGAAAAATATCCGTGTCCGAACCGAGGCTCGAACCCGGACTTTCATGTAGTATAAACACTTTTATCCTGCAATAACGTTGGTACAACCCATGAGAATATTTTTTTCCGTCTAAGTTTAGGACGCTTTCAATAAGAATAATGTCGCGATTTGAAAAAAATGGCGGACTTGCTTAAAAAGGCGATATTGCCTGAGCAGTAAACCTTTTAAAAATCTGTAGAATCCACCCACTTGGATTTGTTTACTAGTATTTATTAAGACATTTTCTAGAATACAGCTATCAGGTGTTTAGAAGATTGTTGATCTGTTAAGACAAATTGATACGAGACATTGTACAAAAGTTGGAGTACTTACAATTGATAGATGAGATATTTGACAATAAGCTGTGCCACGAATTTTTGACGCATTATAGTCATATTTCGTGAACGGCGTCTCGGCTACCCATATTATTATGTCTGTCTCACAGAGAGTGGGCACACTGGATGGGCGTAAAAGGTCAAATATGTTCAGAATAGAGGGAAAGATAGTATAGAATTTTGCACCCTGTGTTCACCCCATTATTACTGTCTGTATTTGTGTGGCATTGTGGTGAAATCAGGCAGCCATCAAAGTACTAAAAATCGAAGAAATTGACATATGAGATATTCCGGGAATTAGGAAAATTTTATCGGTATTTAATTAAAACGTTTTGTCTGAATATCTTTTAAGTTAATTTCAAATCAATTATTGTATCCCCCCCCCACCTGGGCAGTGCCACTAACTGACTGTTGTGTCTTTAGGCCATTCCCAAAGGGGGGGACATTGACATGTTCTTATGCACAATAGAATTGTAAATGCTTCGATTCATCAATGTCGTGCTTACAATCTTCAGGAACAACATAGAGGGAACTGCTGATCTTTCTTTCCTTATCCTCACTATCATAATTTTTTCCTCCACTTCTTTTATATGTTTGTCACTCTCTTGTGAACTGCTATATCTAGGGTGCCTTGATAGTCGAAGCAGACTTTGTGCTGTTGATGCTAGAGAGATGAGCAGAGAAAGCCTGATTCCCCATTTGGACTTCTCTGTTGACATCCACCCCTTGGCATTTATACGGCCTTATGCTGTTGCGAGCGCTGTAAAACCTTACTAAAACTAAAACGAAATTATTCTATAAACTACTAATTTTATTGGAAAACGTTGACCAAAGGCAAAATTATTGTTTGCAGGCAAGTCATCAAACTTTGGCAAACATTTTTTCGATAATTTTACATCTGACACGAGGCAAATCCAATTTCTTCACTGGCAAAACAGCTCGACCTACTTTATGGTAGATAAATTTGTTTTAATTGAAAGAAAGCCAAAATGTACAGGCTTAGAGATTATACCAATAACTCTATAAGCCCATCTTATGACGAATGCCTGATTCCAATACAATACATCCATGCCCATTTCTTTTTGAGTACCAAATCTTAATCATCGATATGGTCCCTTTGAGGATCTTTATGCATAACAAGCTGTCAAAATCAAAAGGTATTAAAAAAAATAAAATGCTCCTCTTTCAATTATTGACAACTTTCAAAGCATAGATAGATAGATAGATAGATAGATAGATAGATAGATAGATAGATAGATAGATAGGTAGATAAAAGAGACAAGCAACCTTAAACCGAGAGAGGGGGCAAAATGGAATGGAAGGCAAAGATATCGCTATTATTTCTTCAATAAATGACACAAATTCCATCATCATTAATTGTCCAAAACAGATTTATTCATTCCTTTTCAAACAACGCCCACAAAGCAGTCAAACACTTTTGGCATGTTATAGTGATCATTGAGAGGGTAAATTTTTTTTTTTGACATGTTGAATCCCAGTACTTCACCGATATCTTTTTGTTACTACTTATGTATCAATAGTTGGACACTGTCAACGAGGACCGAATTGGGGGCGGTTATCCTGGTGGGGCGGCGGGGGCAGGGGCGGCGGCGGCAGCGGGGGCGGGGGCGGCGGCTCCTCCTCCCATCATTTGCATAAGGAAGGGCAACAGTAAGAGCAGGGAGTCCAGACTACCGCTGCTGCTGCTGCTGCTGCTGCTGTCTTTGTAATGATGATGATCGTGGCTGTGTTTGTGGCTGTGGCTGTGGCTGTGGCTGTGGTGGGCCTTGACGTGGTGCTCGTGTTCGTGGTAGTTGTGCTTTCCGGCTTGACAGGACTGGAGACAAACCGATAGGAGCATCAGCGCCAGCAGCATGTTGCACACACGACTTCCAGCACTCGACAACATAGTGACCCGCTTGTGGTTGGGTCCGCAGTTTAGCGTGAAATCTGTAAGGTGCTGGAGAAATGGGGAAATTATTAATGTTACAAAATTTTGTGTCAGAGTTTGTTGATGTTCAAAACATGTCATTGATATACGTGCTGCTGAGTAACTACCGCAAAAAGAATAACACATCCTGAAAAAAAAAAAGAATTAACATTTAAAAAACTTAAAGCATCCGAGTTTGATCAAAATCCCCTCTTAATCTTCTTGAACAGTGTGCATTATTACGAATCAATGAGTGTGATAAGATAACAAAAGTTTCATTTTAATGTATTTACCTAAATTAACATTGTTTAAATCAGACGATGAAAAACATGGGACCTTTCTGCAAATTACAACAATGAATGATATTATTTTGATTTTTAACAACTGCAGCTGTTTTCCAACAAATTTTTGATGCTCTTGACTCGAACCACATTTGTTATAGGGCTGTACACAATAAAGCTGTACACAATAAATATATTTTCTGAGAACATAACACTTTCCAAATTTGAGGTTAAGAACTTGAACTTACCAGTCTGAGTCGAGCAGTTGTTGTCAAGAACAGATGTGCTGATGAGAGGGACATAGATACATGCCACTTATATACCCCAGTCTCCAACATTTGGACGGTGTGGAGACCTCAGATCTCACGTTTTTTCAGTCTTGTTCTTTTAGGGTGTTTTTTGTTAAGGGAAAGACCAAAAGTATTGCACTGGGAAACGTATTTCACTGGGAGTATGGTAGCATTTTCCACCGATCAAACTGCTAAGAAAACTACAGAGACAAAAGCTGACAGTATGTGGCTGGCTATTCAGCGTAGTTCAGGGAAATCATTAT